GTACTATCATGCGCTCTCCAAATGCATCCGCTATTTATTTGGGTCCTAAGACCCGCCTCCACCCCCGCTATCGATCGACGCCGTCGATCACCGGGAACCGCGTTTACCCTTTCTATACTCAACCCCGAGGAAATGTCCAATCCCTCGGCTGATAACCGCCCTTTTCTCGAACTCCCACGCCCAGGCGGAGTCCGCACCAATCTCCTTCCTAATAGCATCCCCAAACACTTAGGCCCTAAACATCGCGCGGTCCGCGGCCCGAATTGGACCCCCTGGGCCTCGGCCACCGCGGGCGCCAACGCTGTCAGCAGCCATGTGCTTAGACTCAGTCCTCGAACCCGAGTCGATGCTATTTTCTTTCCATGAAGAGGCCATAAATTGACTTCGATAAGTTCGACAGTTATCGAGCCCAGGTTTGTCCTAAAACAGTTCTCTTATCCCGCATTTCAGACGCTCGCTACCCAGCCGTGTCCGTTGACACATTTGCCATTGACAAGCTCAGCGCGTTCCCGCATTTACCCAAGCTTCGCTTGTGACGTGGGAAAAACTCTTCTTGAGAAAACCCACGCCAGGAACGGCCGTTACAGTAAGAAATAAATCTATCCGCGCGTCGTCGACCAAATATATTTACGAGCAAAAGATACCAACTTAAGACTAAACACGCACAATACGACCGATACTTGGGATATGTGATCTACGCGAGTCAGCCCCTCCCGGAAACATAAGCGAGCCCTTTCAGACGCAATTTACCTGCCAGATGTCAAGTGCCTGGTGCACACATCAAGTCCGCCAAGGACCCACAGGGTCCGATGACAATCCACACGCAGTCATAAAAAAGGCTAACCGGCCCAAGACTGCAGGCCCAAACTACAGACGTTGTCTATTCGTTCGTTTCCTCGCTCGACCCAACGATTGACATAAGCCATGAACCCTACTTCAATTTTCCACGGGTGCTTGCGTTCGGGAGGTCTGCCAAATAGTTTATTGCATAACAGCCAAAAAACTACGTGCATTGACGGTCCCCGGAATTGCAATTGAGTCTACTCTCTCTGAAGTGCTCTCCTTCCAGACGACACGCCTCCACAGGACAACTGGGTCGCAGAGGAAGCTCCTCAGTCTTCCTCTGTCTCGAACTCGTCGTTTTATCAACCGTCATCGGTTGGAGACGAGAAACACGGCCCCGACGATCCCAAATTCGAACCGTCGTGCACGGAGCCTACGCAGCGGTGTCTAAACCGCTACGTTGAGACGCTCGCCTTTAGAAGTCGCAATTCCCGTCCATACACTCAAGTTCACGTCGGTAACAAATATGTTCGTTATTTACGCGTAAATGACTTGTCATCCAATAGCGGCAGTGAAATTGTTAGGCGAAGGTATTCCGATCGGAACTAACAACTAAAATAAAAACGTGTATGCAAACTTTCAATTGCAAAGTACAATGTGACAGTGGATTTGTAAAATGAAAAGTGGCAGTGAATTTGGAAAGTATAAAAGTGACAATTTTTGTTTTGTGAAAATTTGCCAGTGAGAAAGTGACAATGATCGTGATGATAAGGAAAAAATCGTCGGGTGCAGGTCACTGACTTACTCCAAGCATCAGCTGCTGCGAGCCATGTGTCCCATCTTCGAGTGGCCGAAGGTCGAACCATTGACCCATTGACGTTCTTCTACGAGCAGGTGCACTGATCAACGAAGAAGTAAGTTCAACTCTGATTCTTTTCACATTTTTCATAATTTTACCTATCCTGTAATTTGTAAAGTTGTGTGTTATTTCATTGAGCACGTTACATTTGTTCAGTGAACGTAAGTAACGACTAATCCCTTTCCTTCTTCTGATATCTAACGAATTTGTTAGTTCGTTTTTGCATGCAACATTTCTTTAATCCTATGCTCTCGTCACGAGCGCGACATACGGGCGCGACAATACACGAGGCGGTTGCCGCGCTCCTGCCCGCCTTGTATACTCGCACTCTGATTGGGCGGGGTTTTTGTTAATAACTCAATAACCACGTCTCGGACAACTTTTTCGCAAAGGAAAAAGTTGTTTAAAATCACCTCAGCTCCTCCTCATTTTCGGGCGTAGTAGGAGGTCTGGGACACCCTGTATATTAATATTAGTATACGTATGTGCGTTTGATTTAGAAAGTATGAGAGCGTTATTGTTCCTTTCGTGGTTTA